CCCCCCCCCATGTGCCACTGCTGCCCAAGTCAGCATGAGTAGCCAACACTATTTCCTTCTCCCTGTGGCAGGGCTGAGAGAGCAGGCAGAGAATTGAGGTTTCTCTGGTGACCTGGGTGGGACAAAAGGATTTGAGTCCCCAACAAGAAGCCACAGGTCTTTAACCAAGGTGGAGGTCTTGTACCAAGGGAAGCCATTGATTATTACAGGGAAGCAGGTAGCTATAGCTGCAGCTCCTTGGGGGTGGGGTTGCGCTGCTGGTGTTGCCATAGCAACAACAGAAGTCAGACACTGCAGGTCACTGCCAGAAGTGGGGCACCACAGGTTTGTGGGTGAGATGCCCCGTGAGCCTGTGAGAAATCACGTGCTGCCTCGGGGGCAGCTGCGGCTTCAGTCTTAGGGGGGCTCACTCCCTCTTCCATTTTAGATCTGTTTCTCCAACCAACAGAGCTGATAGAAACACACAGCAACATACACAGAGGGACACAGTCACACAGAGGGACACATAGTGTACAGGGTTAAGCTTGGGCAGTGGTGCTTGCAAATATTTTCTCCTCCTCCTCCTTCTCTTCTTCCTCTTCCTCTTCTTCTTTTTGGGTTTTCAACACAGGGTTTCTCTATGTAGCCCTGGATGTCCTGGAACTCTCTGTAGACTGTTAATGGTTTTGAGCTGCTCAGAGATCTACCATAAGCATGAATAAATTTTAAAAAGAAGCTTTTAAGTTAGGTACTAGCAGCCAAGCCTGGTGCCAGGACTGCATCTGAGAGTGCTCCCATCTGCATCTGAGAGTGCTCCCATCTACATCCTAGAGTGCTCCCATCTGCATCTGAGATGCAGCCACTAGCCATATCAGCCTAGGGCTTATAAAAGCAAAAAACCACTTTATAATCTCAGGTCTTACAATTGTCTTTTTGAGCAGAGTATGCAAGCTTGATTACAGAAGCAGAAATGGCAGTCTTAATGACCTACTATCTCGCAAGAACAGCAAATTTTTTCAAGATCAGTCAATTTTAAGAATAGTGTTGCTGGGCAGTGGTCGTGCATGCTTTTAATCTCAGCACTTGGGAGGCAGAGGCAGGTGAATCTCTTGAGTTCGACGCCAGCCTGGTCTACAGAGCAAGTTCCAAGACAGCCAGGACTGTTACAAGAGGAACTCTGTCTTGAAAAAAAAAAAGAGAAAGAAACAAAGAATAGTGTTTAATGTCTGGGAATTGGGGGCTGCTACAGCCTGTTCAAGCTAGGGGAATTACATATTAGAGGCATTTTTTGTTTTGGTCTCTCAGGCATAGCAAGTTTAAACTTTAGATGTAAAGTTAACCATCACATAGACCAGGCTGGCCTTGAACTCAGATCTGCCTACTTCTCCCAAGTGCTGGGATTAAAAGTGTATACCACAACCACCAGCCTTTTGTTTGTTTTTCTGTTTTTTGAGAGATAGTTTCTAAAGAAATTCTAAAAGCCAAAAGCTCATTTAATTTGGTTATCTTGCTTTATAAGTTATGCTTCTTAACAACCATTCTATTTTTAAATAGGAAAATGTTGAGAAATATGCTTACTGCCATCAGTCTGTGGTGATCTAGAGATCTGCCCATCAACAAAAGAAGGAGTTGGCTTTAGCCTTTTCTGGTAACTCAATTTATCACCTTTATCTCTCTTTCTTCCTACTGTCCTCATACTTAAGACGTCATATCTGTCTTTTAAGTGTTTTAGCTTCTCAACTTCACCATATACCCAAACACAACATTCCACACAAGCTCTCTCACTGTCCCACTCTATCTTTCCTGCCTCCACTTCTCCCTACTTGTAGGAGCCCGTTTTCAGGTTCCTCATGGCTTTACCCAGCAGGTCTGCATAGAGAGGATGATTAGGACCACGGGCCTGAGTGCAGGTGTCTGAGATGGTCTGCACTTGGCTGTGCTGGGGGAGGAGGTCTTTTGCTCCATCCCTTGGCGTCTCTATAAATACCCTGGGGCAGAGACAGTCAGGCCTGGTTGGAATAGGTTCCAGGCCCTTTAGAGGCTATCCTTTATTTTCATTTCCACAATCTAAATCCTTCTATCTAATATTTCCTGATGCTCTCACTTAAGAAAACTCTGGGGAACTGTGGGGTGGGTGGGTAAACACCCCGCACCTACTCCTCAATCTTCCTGGGAAAACAGCTTTTTTACTCCTTAATCATCTGTGTATAACCATCTAATAATTATTCTCAAGTCTCTTCAGGAATATAGGACAGCAATTGCCTGATTCATTGAAGCTAATCAAGTTAAGACTCTCCCCTTGCTACACGACCGGAAGACCCCTTCTTCTATAGACTCAGAGCTGCTGCCTTTGACACACATCCTCCTCAACAGAAAACAGCTATAATGCCCCCTGCCATGCATTTTTATATTCTCTCAGAGTTAAGAATGATACCTGAAAGCCTACACTTAACCAGCTTCCCTTATGTGTAGAGTTGTAAGAGGACACGTTGTTAGGGTTTCTGCTGCAGAAGAGAACTTTGGTGGACTGGGGTCAAGGAATGCTGCACAGATCACACCACACAAGAGAGAGATGCTATGGAATAATTCTCTGTACACCGTGAAGATGTGTTGCTCTCATTGTTAATAAAGAACTGACTGGCCAATAGCTAGGCAGGATTTTTGGAGCAGAGAGAATGCGGTGTTATTTATTAAGCCGCGCAATGTTATTTATTAAGCGACACTGTTTACCATGAGAGAGCAGCCATGATATACAACAAAACCCACAAAAGAGTTTATTAAAGGAAGAGAATAGAAGGGGTGTGCAGTGTGCGTAGGCCTATGGAAGGACTGTGCAGGAAGAGGGGAGATATAGGTGGAACCCACTTTAAAATGTTCCCCCTGCACATGTGCATATGAGCTTACATACCTACGCCATGCATGCGCATAGATCATGTGATCAGGCTGCGTGCAAATTATGTGATCACATAGAACACGCCTTACATAGGATGTAAGGCCCTGGGATGACTAAGCATCTTGCCTGGCTACTGGGCAGCGCAAGGGCGGTCATGTAGCTGGGGGAGTGGCTAGGAATTCTAATAGCTGGGGGAAGAGGAAGGGTGGAGCCAAGGAGTCCTGAGAAGATGCAGACAAAGAGACGAACTTGTTGTATTGAGATAAGGTATGTGGTAGAACATAGATAGAAATATGGGTTAATTAAAGTTGTAAGAGCTAATTAGTAACAAGCTTAAGATATCGGCTGAGCATTTATAATGATAGTCTATTTGTGGTTATTTGGGAGCCAGTAGGTGGGACAGAGCTGAATGCTGGGACAAAGGGAAAGCATAACTTCAGAGTGTTGGAATTCCTGGCCACTCCCCCAGCTGTATGGCCACACATGCGCTGGCAAGATGCTTATAGTCATTCCAGGGCCTTACGTCCTACATAATCTGTGTGCAGCATGATCATGTAATCTATGTGCATGTGTGGCGTAGCTATGTAAGCTCATATGCTCATGTGTGGGGGAATCCATAAAAATTGGGTCACAGACCCCTCCCCCCCTCTCTCCTTGTGTGACCATTTTTCATAGGCTTAGTAAGCATTCCCTCCTGTTCTCTTCCCCTAATAAACTCTTATAGTGGGTTTTGGTGTGCGTTGTGGCTTCTCTCCCATGGTAAACAGCGCCACTTAATGAATTATACGGCGCCGCATAGTAACTAACATTGGTGCTGAGATGAAGCAGGCCCTCCCTGTGCTCTGCATCTGGCACCCTGTACTGAGGTTTGTTCGATCTACAACTGCCCACTTTTTTATTTGCCCGACCGCCAGACCACTTCGCACAACACCGGCTGCTTCAATTGGTGACGTTTCCCTTCCCAGCCAGCGTAAACAGGCTTCAGTGTCTAGCCACTTCCCATGACTGTAGTCTGAGATATTGTTATCCGTGTCGGACCCCCAGGAGGGTTCTTGGGCTGCATACACCCACTCATTCTCTCTTGATGAAGCATTGAAAGCTGTTGGACCCTCTGGGGGGTCCTCTGGCTATGCACACCTTGGCCCTCACCCTTCAGCTTGACAAAGCATTGGTTGACTTGCACCAATTGTCAGTCCTCACTTGATCTTGGGGACGTCTGAGATTACAGTCTTTGATCATTTTTTTTTTTTAATTTTTAATTTTTAATTTTTTTCTCTCTGCCATGGTCATGGGAAATAAGGCTTCCTCCCATTAGTCCCACTCCTCCTCTGAGAAATGCCTTGAATATCCCTTAGATAACAATAAAAATGGCTACCTATTTTTATGTTGGCTCCTTGGATCCCGATATTTTATGGGAATTATCTACCTTCTACCAGCAAATGGGCAAATGAAAAGAGTTAATGTTAGGATTCTGCCCTCACTCCAGCACATGCGCAGTTCAGGAGCTAAGCAAAGGGTCTTGTGTCTTGTGTCATCAGTGTGCACTGGTGATTACCTATGTGCCGTGTGGTCACGCAATCTGCACATGCGTGACGTAGCTCTGTAAGCCCACCTGAGCCTTAAAGAGCTGTGACTCAGACTCCATCTTCTCTCTCTATTATGATCTCTCTTCCTCCCACCATCTTTCTCTCTGCATGTGCTCCTTCCCCAGGCCTGGTTCTCTTGTTATTGCCCCCCCCCTTCATTCTCCTAATAAAGCTCTGATACTGATACTGGGGTAGTGTGACCGTGACCTTTCTGCTTGGTAACCAGTGCTGGTAACCAGCACCGCTTATCATTCTTGCAGTTACCTTATCCCCAAGCTTTTTGACCTAAACTCTAAACCCTCCTTTTGGATTCCTTCTCTCCTGCCCACATGCTCCTAGCTATGCAACCTGAACCTGGGGAATCTCTGACTCCAAAGAACCTCCACCTATATGACCTCACAGTGCCGAATAATAACTAACAGAGAGAAACAGAGAGACACAGAGAAAGAGACACAGAGAGTGGCCCATTTAGAGACTTTCTATTTTTTTTTTTTTTTTTTTTTTTCCCAGACAGGGGTTCTCTGTGTAGCTTTGAGCCTTTACTGGTTCTTACTCTGAAGACCAGGCTAGCCTCAAACTCACAAAGATCCACCTGCCTCTGCCTCCCAAGTGCTGGGATTAAAGGCGTTAGAGACTTTCTAAAGGGGCATAGAGCATGGGTATAGGGAGAATATTCAATTCATGGCGACAGTGGAAATGTGTCGCAGCAATGTGTCCCAAGTGGCAGCTGGTGATGATGTGGCCACTGGTGCTGGGTCACTGAGGGCATGCTGGGTGGCCATCTGCATACTGCCATGAATCAGCATGGTTCAAGTTCTGCCTAAAGTCCAAGCCTCTCTCTCTGTCTCTCTACAGCAGGTACACAAGGTCAGACCAAGCCTCTCTTACTGCCTTCCATCTCTCTACATCAGGAACACATGGTGCTAGAGCAGTAGCTGAGATATGTCATGATCCACAGGAGGTAGAATAGAGAGAGTGAAAGGCTCTGACAGGCTCAGAAATGGCGCCAGCAGGGTCTTGCTCCCTCCCCATGCCTTTGTTCCTTGCTAAGCCGCTAGACTTCCTCACTCCTGGGGCTAACTACCAAGGTCCAGCTATCAAAATTCCTTATTTCTCTATACTGACCAACATGTCCAATCAGAACTAAGCAATGCATCCTAGTCCAGCTCTAGAGCCACGCCCTCACCCCGACACCCCTCACTCTCCACTCTCTTCCTTCCATCCCCACCCTCTCACTTCCACCCCCCCCCATCCCTGCTGTTTCTGCCTTATTCAGATTCAGCCAGTCTCTTTCCACCTTGCGCTATAAAAGATCTCTTTGTGCTGAAAATTGGTGTTTGGGTGTGATCTGTGTCCAGAAGGGAGCACCCCACAGTACAGGGGTCCTGAGAGAGAGAGAGAGAGAGAGAGAGAGACAGACAGACAGACAGACAGACAGACAGACAGACAGAAACATACTTCCTCCAACAAAGCCACATATCCTAACAGTGTGACCACTATGGACCATCTTAAAACAGCAGAAGAGCTCTTTAGTGGCAGCAGCTGTAAGTGCTCTTTGTTTTTTTGTTTGTTTTGTTTTGTTTTGTTTTTTGTTTTTCCTTGAAATCTGCCAATCTCAAAGTGGTAGTTCTCATTGTTAGTATGTACTGTATGAAAACTGTATCAAAATAAAAATAAAACAAACATTTTGTTCAAAATAATGTTTCAGAGGGTTCAGGCCCATCGAGCTTCAGCAAATGAAGGGCAGAAGGCTTTAATGGGGAGGGGGGGAATCTATGTCTTTAGGTGTACGGAACCTTGTTCAAGGACCCAAAGGCAGATTTTTAGAAATGAAAGGCTTTCTCTCAGTGCTTCAGCAGTACATCCCAAGAACAAGGATGCAGAAGTGAACAGCGCATGGAAAGGAAAAGGAAAAAGAAAAAAGCGCTCCCCAGATTCCAGCTATCCCAGGTGTTCCCCTCCCTCTCTTTCCCTTTACTCTACGTACTTAATTTTGGACCATCCCCTCATCTGATTCTTATGTACTCACCATGGCCATACTCACTCATGATGATTCCCCCTGTGTTCTGCTCATCCTGAACCAACAGGAATAAGGGTCCTGAAAGGCGAGTTGTCTGGGGATGAAAAATAAAGACGACAAAAGCAATGGCTGGGACCAGTAGGTCTTGTATGAACTGGTGACTTACGCCAAACAAGTTTGTACAACATCTTATATAGTATTTGCAAGAGGAAAAAATAGTTGGGGTCAGAGAGTTAAGTCAGACAATACTGGCAAAGAGAACACAGGATACCACACCTGCAAATTTCGAGCACACATATGATAGTTGATTCGGACACTTCCTTTCTGGCTTATACAGACATCCTCAGCTGGCCTCTGTGCCAGGTATGTAAGACTGCACATTTGTGTATTTGGGTATGGCTAGAGGTCAATGTGAGGTACCTTCCTCTGTTATTCTCCACTTTGCCTTTGAGGAAACAGCCTCAAGTAAACAAGCCCAAGATAAGGGTCTGGGACAGCCAGTATGGCCTGGCCAAACAGAGACCACAGAGGTCACCAGGCTATAAAACACATCTGTTCCTAGCCTTCTGAGCAGAAAACTAGTTATACATCCTTCCTTTGAAGAAACAACTGTTGGGGAAAATTATTTTAAAGTGTGTTGCATTTTTTCCTACTGCTTTTGTTAACAATTCAAAAATGTGTTTGAGTAAATAAAATTAACCTGCAAGCAAGAAGCTGAGTCAGCAAGTAGTTGACAGCAAGTGGTAGAAGAAACCAGGTATAGCAAGGGTTTTAAGTGGAGGCTGAGAAAAGGACATGGGATTTTTTTGAAGATACCAGAAAAGGGAGAAGATTAACTACTTGTTCAGCCTCTCTGAGCGCACAGAATTCCACTTAAACCTTTGAATCATGAGTTCTTTAGATTTAGATAAAGTTTCCCATGGTAGCCTTGAAAGAGTCAGTGCCTGAAGGAACAGAGTCCCCTCAGGTTGCAGCCCTTGAGGCTGAAGCGGTTGCTTAACGGGCAGCCACTGTAGATAATAAAAAACAGTTAACAATAGACAACTTTGTGTGTTTAACACTCCTGGTTTCCTTCATGCTTATCTGCGAGTACAAGGACCTACATGCCTCCTATATCCCAGCGTAGTACCTGTTGGAAGATATTGATTGAATAAGTGTTGGCATACGTTCATTTAAAATATTAAAATCAGGAAAATGCATATTTGTTGTAATTTTCTTTTCTGTTTTTTGCATGTGCTTGTTTCTGTGATATACATTTGGGTGAGTACATATCTGTACACTGGCGCATGTGTGGAAGCAGAGGTTACTACATTCCTCAATCAGTCCCCACATTATTTGCAGAGGCAGAGTCACCTGCTGATCTCAGAGCTAATCGAGCAAGACAGCTTGCTCCAGAGATCCTCTGTCTCCACCTCTAGCCTGCTGGGATGATGGGTGGGCCTCTACTCATGCCTGGCTTGTATGAGGATGCTGGGGATCTGAACTCTGGTCCTCATGCTTTACCTTCTGCTCCATCTCCTCAGACCATCTTGCTCTTTATTTTTCAGCACTGTCGGGAAGGAAACCTAGGTCATTGCCCATGTGAGGTAAGCACTCTACCATTAAGCTTTATCCATAGCTCCTTATAACTTTTTGGAAGAAAAAGACGAACTAGGCAATGTTGAAAGAATACAGTTTGCAAACCACACACATAATTTAGAGCAGGAGTGCTGAGTGGACTTATATTGGTAAGAGAGTCTGTGTGAAGAATTCCTAAGGACTGGGCCTTCCTGGTAGGGCAGAAGCACTGGTTTCCAGGCATGCTTGTCTGCAGCTCCAAGTTACCACAGAGATTAGAGACTAGGGATGCCTAGCTCCCATGTCCCAAGACTGAGATTCATTGTCATCTATTGCCTGGGTAGCAATTCACCTTCTTGTCAGTTCTGATCAATTTAGCCTGAAGCAGTTAGCATTCCCAAGCTAGAAGAGTAGGTCCCTGTTTACAAGAGGGCCCATTGATTGTTCTTAGTTACTGTCTGATTGGCAAGGGGTGGGATAGGCCACATAAGGAGGTGGGGAGGCAGCGAGCTCACAGGGAAGAAACTCGGCCATAATTCAGAGAAGGGAGGAGTGAAAGTTTTATTTTTTTGTTTTTTGTTTTGTTTTTTTTCTGTTGCCAGTAGGAGCTTCACTAAGGTACTTGCACCTTGAACTCCTGCCTGGTAACTCAGCTGATGGAGGAGGAGACCTCCATGCCAGTCCAGCTCAGCACCATGGGCTCACCGTGGGCGTCAGGGTGGCAGGCTGACTTCATGGCAAGTTTGCTGTTGGTGCTTCTGCGGCACGTGCTCATGGCAGGTAGGATATGGATGGAATGGGAAGGAACCATCCCTGGTGGTCTCCTGGGGCCCCACTTTCTGTGGTTGTGGCCTGCCAGGATGATGAGAGCTCTGCAAAGTGTAGATTCGCTGACTGATTCTGAAGATGTGCATTTAAGACCTATAGTGTGCAGTTTGCCTTGATTGCATGCCTTGCGGGGCCTTACTCCTCCATCCATGATGTGGGAACTAAGGGCAAAGTTGGAGAAAAACTCCAGCTTTGTCTCATCAAGGCATCTTTACCGAAGTTTTTTTGCAGAGGCAGGGAGGGGCAGTTTTCATTTCTTGGTAGCATTCTATAGGTCTTAGTTCTGCAGCTTGCGAACCTAAGATAAGGGAATGGCAGGTTCAGCTCTAGGATAACTTCCTGTTCTGTCATGATGACACAGAGAGGTCTAGCTCTGGGTTCACACAGTGGCTCTAGTCAATGGCTCTAATCCCATTTAGAGGGCTTCAGCCTCATGCTCTAATCATCTCCCCAAGTCCTTACTTCTAAATGCTGGAAATTCAGCCTCAACATATAAATTTTGGGAGGATAAAGAGTTCTTCTGTACATAGCATATCGCCAAACATGTCAATGGATAGAAAAATACAACATTCTTAAAATGACAGTACACCCAATTTGATCTACAGATTCTACAGATCACAATTCCTATCGGAACCTTAGCAGACTTTTTTGTAGAAGTTGATAAGCTGGAGCTGGTTAGATGGTTTGTCAGTTTAAGGTGCTTGCCACCAACCCTGATGACCTGTCTTTGCTCCTTGGAGCCCACATGGTTTAAGGAGAGAACTTACTTCCATAAATGTCCTCTGATTTCTACATAGCTGCTGTGGTACACACATGTATACACCCAGTAAATGTAATTTTTCAATGAAAAATTAATTAGTTGATTCTAAAATGTGCATGGATCCCTAACAGCCAAAATAGTCCAAAAAGAAAGGACAGGGATAAGGGATCTATTTGGATTAACAAGAGGCTGAAAGTAAGAGCTATTTCGAGGCCACCCCTTCCCCTCAAGGGCTATTCATTCCATCCCAGTGATGGGGTGCCAAGAGCCTCCTGTAACTGGGTTCTTTTATTGCCATAGGTGGGCTGCAAGTGGAGATGGCAGGGACGACACAGATGGTATTCCTACATGACAATGTCACCATAGCCTGCAAAATTCCTGGTTCCCCACGACTTGACATCAAGACTGTGGGAATCATCTGGTTTGGGAAGAATGAGTTGGATGACTCTGAGGTCAAGGTGTTTGAGTTTTATGGAAATCATCTAGAGTCATTCCGACCTGGAGCCATGGTATCACTGTCGGGGCTGGAGTCAGGAGATGCCTCACTCCATCTACCTAAGGTCCAGCTGGGGGAAGCAGGAGAATACCGATGCATGCTAGTGGTCACCCCTGAAAAGGCAGAGGGAAAGACCATTCTAGAAGTTGTGGGTAAGTACTCAATGGAAGTGCCCCATAGTTCTGATGTTGCTGGGGTTAGTGGTGGACATGTGGATGGCCAAGCAGGGGAGAGTTAGAATATGAGTGAAAGAGTCAGGGGGACGTGGTTTTCATTTCTGCTCATGGCAACCTATGTCAACAGGCAAATGTTGAAGAGGATGAGTCAGGAGGATCTTGAATTTGAGGTAACCTGGGGCTACACCTTTTGTGTGGAGCTGTCTGTAGCTTGGTTGTAAAGTGTTAGCCAGGATTGGCTTCAACCCCCACTATTGCCCAAATTAAAGAAAGCTAAAACAGTTTGACAACTGTTGTAGAGACCAAAAGACCACTCAGCATGACTGAAGTCCAAATTGAGAGTCTGTAATAAGCCCGCCAGCGTGTATCTGGAGAGAAACAGTTCTCACAGAACAGTGTCAAATACATTTTACAGGGAGCTTTTAAAAGCAAAGAACACAGAAAAACTACACCCTCGTTGGCAGTTGCAGGGGGAAGCAAGCAAGCAGTTTAACAGAAGCCAAGAACATGCAGTTAGCTGGGACATTTCTACCCCAAGTTTCTAGAATAGGGTTGGGTACTTTCCCAGAGGATTTTTCACAGTGGGGAGTAGAAAAAGGAGGTGGGAATCAGTTTCAGGTTAAACCAAAGCTGAGATAAGATGGAGGAATCTTTGCCCTTTCACATTCCTCATTGATCTTAGTGAATGAGTCAAATAGTGGGCTCATCTTGCTCTAAAGAGGTAAAGTTGGTCATAAGGACCATTAATTTGACTTAACCAATCCTTTGTTTTACATAATTGGCCATACAATTTAAGATGCAGGGCCCCACCGTTAATCCAGTCAGAAGAAGAACCAATCTATTTCAGTTTCAGAGTCTAGAAGGGGGTAATCTACATATTATAAGAGTATAGTCCCTGGAAACCTCTGACAGAAAGGCAAGAGGTCAACACTCAGTGCCACATCAAATGGTTGGAAAGTTTTTAAATTTTTGGGGTAACCTGATCTAGGTAAGTTGCCTTGCCAACTGTAGTATGCCTCTAAGTCTGCTCATTCAAAAGCAAATATGAGTTGACTTACCTCTGCCAATGAAAGGCTGAAAAAATGCATCTTTTTCTGGCCTAAGACAGTGTACAACTGTTTCTCTGGAGGATTTAGTCTCATGAGAGTTTATGGGTTTGGGACCATGAAGTCAATAGTCTCGAGCCTCTTATTCCCTTTCCTCAGATCTTACACAGGTCTATAATCAGAGGTCCCAGATTTCTTTCTCACAGACAGGAGAGGTGTGACTGGCAGCTCACCAAGATGCCCGTCTCTCTAAACTGGGCAAGATGGACTGCAACTCCCCCTTTTGCTTCCAGAGTCATTGGGTATCATTTAATCTGTATGGGGGAAGCAGAACTATTACAGGAACTTGATATTGGGCCAGTCCAATCTTTTGATTGGAGGGAGGACTTTCAGCTCATTGTGACAGAGGACATGACACCAAACTTTTGCTGGGTATCTTTAAGTTAACTGTGTCTCATCATCAGAGGAGGTAGTAGTGGCTTTCAGTTTATGCAAATGGTCTCATCCAAACAGGGATTAGAGCAATCAGACATGACCAATTATAAACAGCTACAAAAGGTACAGATTAAAAGGGATTGGCTCCATGCTCTTAATGATTTTCAAAAATTATTGGGTGATATTAACTGGTTGCAGCCTACAATTGGATTGCCTACTCAAGAATTAACTAATTTGTTTCAAATTCTACAAGGTGACTCAGATTTAAACAGTCCAAAACACTTAACAGCTGAGGCTGAAAAAAAATTAGCTTTGGTAAAATGTAAGTTACAAAATGCTTGTATAGATAGATTAGATGTAGCTAGAGTTTTTCTGGTCCTGCCTGGCCCACAGTCAGGACAAATCTTTGTCACCCGCCAGTCCCTCAGCAGCTCAGACCCAACCAAATAAACACAGAGACTTATATTGCTTACAAACTGTATGGCCGTGGCAGGCTTCCTGCTAACTGTTCTTATAGCTTAAATTAATCCATTTCCATAAATCTATAACTTGCCATGTGGCTTGTGGCTTACCGGCGTCTTCACATGCTGCTTGTCTTGGCGGCAGCTGGCAGTGACTCCTTCCGCTTTCCTGTTCTTTCTTTTCTCCTCTCTGTTAGTCCCACCTATACTTCCTGCCTAGCCACTGGCCAATCAGTGTTTTATATATTGACCAATCAGAGTAATTTGACATACAGACCATCCCACAGCAATTAGACCTTATAAAGAGATGCTTGTTAAACAGAAGAGGGATATGAGGACCCTAAGCGAATGCCCTACTAATTTAAAAATTTTTTAATGCTAATGAAACAGAAACAACATTGAGTTATGAAAAGAATTGCTGAATTGAGTCAGCCCACATATTATAAATATTTTAACATCAAAGTAGTCTGACAATAGCTTCATAAACTCTGACAAAGTTGTTGTGTGAATGGGGGTCATGGCATATCACCACCCTGCTGGCACTGTTACCAACATACCCAGAATATTTAACTAAGTACAGTCCCAACATGTTCACTATCCCACCCTGGAGGCTTGCCAGGGGTTCACCATGCTTGGCAAGAGCTTCCCTGTCTACCTTCAGGTAGCCCCTAGTCTGGTGTGGTAAATTGGCAGGTCTCCAGCCCATTGCTGGGGATGATTACAGTTCTACTTGTTTCTTTTCTTTGCTGTTGGGGATCAAATGGAGGCTTTGAACATGCTAAAGCAAATTTTCTGCCTTTCAGCTACATCCCCAGCCGTTGTGTTGTCTTCTTCTTCTTCTTCTTCTTCTTCTT